TGACCTGGTGTAACGTGCTCAAATCCGTCTCTGTTCTATGATGTCATCAGAAAGCGCATGTTATTGTTTGGGGAAAGGACTTCTCCCGTTCTCCCGTCTGCTGCTGTAGTGGCAATTGTCTCCCTTAAGACGGTCTTTAAGGGCATTGTCGGTATGTAATTCTGTTCCATCTTTACTAATGAACAATCTACTTGAAGAAATGTGATTGCAGTGTTTGCTTAATAGAAACGTTTGTAAAGAGGGAATTAGCTAACGATTTCGGCTAAACAAGTCATGGTACTGTTATTTTGTATTTCTCCTCATCTATGGTTTCTAAGAGCATTTCATGTCATGTTGTTTCTCAGTTTTACCCTACTTCAACTGGCCTAAGTAAAGGGACTGAAGTCAAACCCTCTTGTCTGCGTGGTCATTTTGAAGAGGAGTTTAGTCTGAATGTCGACTCTAGCAAGGCGTTAGAGGCAGAGGACATGACACTACTACTGCCTACTTGTGTCTTGCTTTTGCTGTGCAGTAAATTCTCTTGAACGTTCCAGCGAATAGGTTTAAGCTACAAACCTATCAAAGGGCACTTGGGGAAAAACGCTTCACAGTCTCTGAGCTGGGTTCTCTGCAGCTTGAGGTCAGTAAAGAGCATTAACGTTCTCATCATCCTCCTTTTTCCTTTGCTGTGACTTGGCTTGGCTTCTGTGAGCAAACAGGTGAGCGTGTGCAGGGCATGGAAGTTTATGGACACATTCGTAGAGAGCTTAAACTGTCCGTGGTAATGACAGTCTGGCCCTTCGTGTTGATACGTGGATTCTGCCAGGTGAAGGCTGATGCAGTACTTATATTTGATGTTAATGGTGAGGCTGAAGCTGTCATCTGATTTGGAGAATTTGTCAATGTTGGACTGAAGCTCACAGTTGTAAGTGTCAGTAAAAGTGTGGTGCTGCATGGACAGAAACATTAAGATCTGGACAATTATGGAAAAGGGATCCAAGAGCTGTCCTTTGTCCTGAACCCGAGCTACCATACTATCCTGAAACAAGTATACTCATCCACGATCTGCCGCAGTCCATCATGACTCCCTGTAACAAACAGATTGACAAAGATACGTAGGACTCTGTTTATTTCACTTTTCTTCTATCTGACAGAAAAGGTCATATCCAACATTTCTTGTTTTACTTTCAGCAGGTCATGTTCAGGACATCCATCCATCCTCTGCACAGGGTCGCAGGAGGGCTGAGGGTTCACCATAGCAACACAGGGCTAACACAAAGAGACAGACAACCACTCATACTCACATTCACACCTATGGGCAGTTTACAATCAGTGATTAACCTAACCCCACTAGCAGCATGTCTTTAGACTGTGGGGACTTTGCTGAGTTTCCAAGCTCAGACTAGATCAGGCCTGCTCAGGAAGGTTTGGCCATAAGCTGGGGACCACAGACACCATTCAGGGAGTCAAAGAAAGATTTTGATCATGTGTATCAGCATATTTCTGGATTGGTCCACTTTGTGACTAAGCACAGAGTCCAGCATTTGCTGACGCTGGAACAAACTGCTGTTTGGCAGTAGAAGAGGGGTAACTTTGATGATGTTTCTCAGTCATGATAACCAGAGAGTAATAATAAAATTGATGGTAGACTGTGGAGAAGCCCAAGATTCGACTGAGTTTGCCAAAACAGGACCTGTTGTAATTTATCAGTTAACACTCGTTAAATGATGTTAATCAGGCGGCTTCATATTCTCTGATGTGTGTTCATGGGTTCAGGTCTCTCTTTACTCCCACGGGACTTTCTGCTTAAATAAAAGTTAAATGAATGAATAAATAATCACTATTATTAAAGCTAAATAAATTCCTAATTGAGCATAACATTATTCTTTTGATTTCCAACATTAATATAAATATATTTTAATGTCTAATGTCACTGATGATAAGAAATAGTTTTGATGTGACCAAAGACTGATGTGTTCTTTTCTTCTTTTTTCAAATATGATGACAACAGTTACACGTGTTAGCATCCAGAAACAGTCAGGAAGGTAAGGGCATACTCAAAAACATCCGATGGTTCATTAGACTGTTTATTACTGGCACAAATTCAGTCTCCTGAAACGCTCTTCAAATCTACAGCACGTACTTGTTGCTTCACAGCAAATCGGCAGCACTTCCTCTTTATCAGCATGTGAAAGGTAGGTTAGAGAACTGTAACATTCTCAGCTTTGTTTCTGTGGGTGTGATTACAGAGGATTTCAGCAGCTGTGGAGACAGATTGAGTGATGCGAGAGCTGACATTTATCAAATATTTGCAGATGCTTTAACTGGTGAAGCCACAAGCTGAACTTAATTGATTTTGCTGTCTGGCTCACTGCGCCGTGGAGCTCAAAAGACTAATCCCCACCATCCTGTGGAATGTGTGTGTGTACTTTTGTTTTATCCCTTTAGTTTTTTAGCTGCAGTTTGGTTACACATTTGCACCAAAACATCTTGGTTTGGCTTTAAACACACCACAACCTTCTCTGCATGTTACAAGCTTCTCCTCGGGGTCCCCTTAAATCATCAACTCAACAAAAGCAAAATGAATCCATAGATGATAAGCTGGAAGGTGAAACATGTGTGCTATTATTCCCAAGTAACAGGGTTGAGAACTGTATGTGTAAAACTGACAAGTCTGCACATCAGTTAATTGTCACAATAATCGGATGGTGCAGCAGCAGGTGTGTATGATTCTGGAGAAATCCACCATTTAGTTTAGTGCGCATGCACCAACCAGCGTGCAGCCTGTTACAGTCGCTCCTGCTTTTCTCTTAGTTTAGCTTTTTTTTTCTTACGTATTCTTTTTTTTTCCTGACTTGTATTTTCCTCCGTTTTCTATCTCTTACTCAATCATGTGGATTGAGAGAGTTTTTGTTCTTCTGGTGGCCGTGGAACTGTTACTTTTATCAAGGAA